CTATCTGTCCATGCCTGTTTCTGCAAAAGCTGAGGTTATAACTTCTGTAGAACTTGCAGTAGAAACTGATACAAACTGAGAGAAAACAGAATTTTAAGCCTGATGAAACTCTACCACTTGAGTTTAAATTACGCATTAAATTGCAAATACAAATGGAGTAGAAGTTAGCTTTAACTCTTTTTAACTCTTACCCCTGTCTACCATCAGTCTTCTGTCATTGCCAGTGGTTTGGTCTTGGGAAATTTCTGCTGTTACTTTTCCACTGAGAATCCACTGAAGGTTCCCCATTTCTTTGGAGACATGCTCCTTCCACAGATTTCCCCAAGGATGCACAGGCTGTGCAAGTTATGAGCTGTCAATGAAGGCAGTGCCTGTACGCAAGGTTTTAATGAATGAGAACATCTTGTATTTTGTGTCCCAAATCATGCAGAACAGGGCAATGAACAGTCTTATACATACTGGATCCTGCTGGCTCTCGAAGCATCACAAAATAAAGCTGCAAGTTGATGTAGAAGACCAGTTGATTCAAGAAAACTCAATTCTGACCCCAAAGGCTTCACTATTATTATTTAGCAAATAATACTTAATAAACTTATAACCTAAGAAAACTATAATATTCACTTCCATAGAAACTTATTAAAAAATGGAATTTATTCCCAGAATAATTATACAGTGGTTTGCTTTTCTCCAAGTCCAGAAATCTTGCAGTGAGACAGAATTAGAAATATCTAGGTCATTTCCAGGGAAAAGGTTCACTTCTCTTGCTAGTTTTATGCCCACAGTTGACTTCTAATACATATTTCACACTTACCTTCATGGAGTTTCATTTCGTTAATTTCAAATTCTCATTTTGATTTGCTCAGAAAATGCTGTATTCTGTTCTCCACAGAGTCTGACATGTCTCCCACACTGGGACAATTTGCAAGCTTTTTGTTACTGGATTGCTGAAGTTATTAATAAGTAAAACTTTGTCTGAGACAGATCCCTGGGGCTCTCACTTGAAACATTCTCACTGTCTCACACTGAGCTAACATCTGCTTTTCGTGTATATTTAGGCTGTGTGATTTCATTTAGATAGGAGTTTTACATGTAAGCTTCTAATATGAAGAGAAGGAGGGGAAAAAGGGGTGACTGCTAAATCCTGCCATCCTTCCCTTCCTTTTATCTGACCTTGCTTTCTCTCTGCAGCGGTAAACCCTCTCTCAGCTGGCTGTGGAGAGCTGAGGTGCACCTTTTGAACCATGCAGGCTCTGTGTATATCCCTGTCTGCTGAGAGGAAGGGACAAGGAAAGTGCAGTGCAGGATGCAAAAATGTTTTGCATTTTTTTATGCAAATGCAGGATATTTTTATGCCAAGTATGATCATTAGTGTTTCTTATGAATCTGAAGTTTTAGATCACAAAATATTTTGATAACTTTTAAATTCCACTGATCCTTTTCCCTGGAGAGGAACAAATGGATGACATGGTCCTTTTTGATTCCAAGGGTATGCTGGAAATAGGAGTGGCTCGAAGTAATTTTTACATTGTTTAATATGCATTCTTGGACTTAATATAACTAAAGAAAACATTCATAGCTGTACATTGTGTCATATGTGGCCTGGGACAGGAACTTTTTGTTCCTTAGGGAAGAGCAATGGGTAGTGTAAATAGCATGATCACACAATACTCAAGGAATTGATTAACTCTACAGTAACTAATACTTACTGACTGCATTTATCTCTTCTCGCTCTGGTGCACAAATTCCACATTGAATTTGATCCAATTACATTAGTCCTCAGGCCAGTGAGCCTGAAATTCAGACCTCAAGTTGTGGGGTAATTGCCCATGCAATGAGAGTAACAGCTTTGCAATTGTGCCCTATACAAGCATGCACACTCCTTGCAGTGAGGTTCCTCCCCAGGCTGGCTGCTTCTGGCTCCAGCTGCACATTTGTCTGGCACTGCGACAGTGGTGGTATGATCCCAATTCCTCCACATGGCCCCATATAATTAATCCATTTTCTTGCACGTGCCTCCTCCAAGTTTGAACAAGCCTTTTTATTCTCTTTTCAGTGGTCAAGTAGCCCTTGAATCTTTTTGGATCCTTTCTTCCCCTTACCAGTCTTCAGAAAGGCACCATATTGCCATTCATTGCTGAGCTACTGTGCATTCTCCAGGGAGGTTTGTTAGGTTGCATTAATACAGATTAAGATCTGCTCTGTCTCCACTCTTCCCAGTGCCAGCTCGTTGCTTGCCAAGTGTGAGGTTAAGAGATCTTTTTTCTGTCAAACAGCAACCCCTGCTCTTATGAGCCCTGTAGCAATCTCCAGCTCACCAGCCTGTCAGGTAGATAGAGCCACAGGGAGCATTCATTAAATATACTAAAGGACGTAGTAGGAGGTTTTAGCCACCCTCTTTTGTTCCTATAGCCATTGCTGGGTTTGTTTTTTGGGATTTTTTTGTCCTATCAGGACACTTTTATCTAAGTGAGATTAGGAAATGCCACAGATCAGTTTGGCTGACAGAAAAATGGGAAGGGTCTGTGAAAGAGCTGGCTAGCCAGGAAATTATTTTAATTATTTTTTGCTTTTTTTTCCTAAGATAACTTCAGGATGTGAATTAGCTCTTCTGTTTTACAATATAATCAGCTTGATCACAGTTTAGTGACTGAAGAGTGATTCAGCTCTTTCAAGAAACGAGTCATTCAAAAGCAAGGATCTGACCAGTCAGACTGGAAAAAAAATAACACTTCTCTGCAGTATATTTATGCATGTTCAGAAGAAAAAAACCAAACCCTTCCACCTCCCAGAAAATCCTCAAAATACATTTCAGACTTTTCAGAAAATATTTGGAAGCTGTGACAATTCTCTAACCCTTTCTAGCAATTTTTCACACCTTTCACCATTTACCTCTTGGGCACAGCTGTCCCTTCTCTCTGCTCTCCTTTTTTTCCCCCAAGTCCAAATGGCAGTTTAACATTAATGCTTTCAGAACCAGAAGAGCCTGATGCCAAAAAGGTAGAAATAATGATGTCTGATGCCAAAATGGCAGAAAAGGCCATTACACCATTACAAACCCTAGAGAGATGGAGGAGGAAGCCTCTGGAGTCAGGCATGATGAGCACAGTCCTTTTGGGGAAAATCTTGCAGGCAACATTGGGTAATGGACACAGAGACGCTTGTACACAAGGAGATAGCCCAGCCCCTTCAGAGAAATGTCAAGGACACTGCAATGAGATCATCCGTCAGTCTGACAGTCTTCCCTTTGTACATTTTCTGTCTGGCAAGGGTTTTCTTTCTTTCTCTTGGATTGTGTCTACTTCTATAGGTGTGTGAGATGAGCACACTTCAGTACTGGGTTGAGTGACCATGAAGCTGGCATTATGGATAAACTTGCTTACTCCTAAATAATTCCAATACATTTTTTAGAGTGCCTGTGTTCAATAATTTCCTAGTTATTCTGCAAACTTTATATGCTAAGGCTGATTATATTTTGTGTTTGCAGTGACCTTCACTGCTGGTAGAGTTCCCTTCTCAGAAACTCAAATCAATAATTGTTAAAGGCAATAGCACTTCTGATCTGCTGATCACATCTATGCCTCTGCCAATCAGCATTCCAGAAAAACAGCAATGGAAGGAACATCTCATGAAGATCTCATGAGTGTAGGGTAATGTCGCAGCTGCAGGTAGAAAGCAGATGGCGATGGGCAATTGAGAAGTTTAGTTTTCATTTTGTGCAAGGGGTTTCATAGCCATAGGAAGTGGGGGGACATATTTAATGCCCCAAAAGGTCTCTTCTAGCCATAGCTTGCTAAAGGAAGGAGCTGCTCATTCAACCAAGCTCAGAGCACAACGTCATCCTGTCCCCTACAAAATGGTCATTCTCTTAGAACTCTCTGTCAGTAATGGCAGAGGGGAAAACGCTCGAGTAACTCCCTAAGGGCAAAGTAAGGCAAAAAGGCACAACTGATATACCCACACGTGTAACTTGGTCTTAGTTAAAGAAAAGGAATTAACAAAATGCTGTACTTCAGAGAATATTGCTGTGCTTTTCTGAGTTTTATGGAAACTCTTGTTTGAATTTGGCAAAAGGAAGTGTATAAGGGTATCGTTTGTGGCATGATAATTTCTCATCTCAGCTCTCCTTGTGATTTTAGTAACATAAAACAAATGAGTGTGATCACAGCAGTGGTTTTTCACAGACCCCTGGTATCATTCAATAATGCTTTTGAGTTTCAGAAAATTTTTCTTTTCACACATCTGAAAGACCTGCAGATTTAGAGATTCAGAACTTGGCCAACTCCACAACATCCTTTTCACTTGTCTGTCTCTGCTCTCTGTGTTTGTCAGTCTAAAGAGAGCTATTAAATCTGGGTGTTCTCTGAAAATCTTTTCCTGTGGTGAAAAAGAAATAGCTTTTTGGGTAGAACAGCAAATTTTTAGCAATTTTATGAGTGCCTGGGGTTTATTTCCAACAGCCTGTTAATACTCAAGTCTGTGAGACTTGGTGAGAGGTATGGAAGAGGACTGCTAGCTGTACGTGACTCAGATCAACAAGGAAATAATTTAATGGGTTTGATCTATATAAAGTGTTCTAAAGGGCCACACCAGGATCACACACCTAATCTGAAGGGATACACACTTGAAAATCATTTCTAATGCTGCATAATTTGTAAGAATAGTTATTTTACCTGTATAATTGCATGTTGTGTGTGTGGAAAAAAAACCTGAAAAATGCCAAAACAATGAGGCATGCAAGATTTTGAGACAATGTGAATCGAAAGGGATGTTCTGAAACCAATGAAACTGTGTGAATTTTGACCTCGTCTCTCTAAGGTTGGAGGTAGAAAAGTGAGCTTCAATATTTGACTGTTATATACTCAGTACATCTCTGCTTTTGGTATTGCTATAAACATACTTTTCACTTGTAATGTGTAGGATAATTCAAATATCTTTTTTGTAAATTGATTGGAGAACAAACTATAGTACCCTTATTAATCTTTATTTTATTGTTGTTCCAGGTTAGGTTTCCCCATGATGATCGTGTCCTGTACCATCGGGATGTGCTATCTTCTTGTTGCTCATGTTGTAGTAGGTTGGAACTCATAGTAATTTATACTTTCAAGACTCAGATAAGCTTTCTCTTTTGTTTAGTTTATATCAGAATGCTAAGAACACATATGAAAGGAAAAAGATATGCAAAACCTCAACACATGGTATCAATCAAAATGATTGTTGGAATAAACATCAGATACGGTCATTCTTAACCTTTTGTTTTATGAACAATATGCAGAACTAGACAATCAAAATAAAAAGAATCCATATATTTCATTATGAATGCAATTAGTGTACGGATAAAAAGGAACCGTCTCAAGGGAATATGCTGTGCCTGAAAGTTTGTATTGACACAATCTGAGTATAGTCACAGATGAAAAACTCATTCACAATAGCAGATGTTCAGTAATTTCTTTTTAGGGCTTCATTTTTCTTTGGCAATATATTTAGCTACTTGTATGAAAGTAACTAATATTCAAGTTGTAATAATTGACAGTTAAGCAGAAAATCTGTACATGATGAAGGATGTATCATTATCTACATTAAAAATAAACACATGTTCTGAAAATGTGCTGTGGAAGAAATTATTATTTAAAAAGCAGGATTGCATTCCCCAGAGGCTTTGTTTTTCATTTTAACACTCCTGAACAGTGTTAGGCTACCTCTATTTTTTTTCCTTAAAATAAACTAATGCCACTCTTCTTACAAAAGGACAAACATAAATAGTGATAAAGCATCAGACATCTTCCATTTAATCATTAATTCACTTTTGTGAAGGACTGCTCTAAATATTTTAATAGGGTAATACACTATATGGAAGAATGAGCTCATACTTTGGCTTTGATTTCATTATATCTGGTGATAAATGTTTTAAACCACATATATTGCTTTTTATATTTGGCTGCCACAACAGGTCAAAATTTCCAGTCAGAGTATTAAGTCCTGTGAGGTATTCAAGAGCTCAGTTCCCATCTTCCAAAACCTTGGTGGGTTTGACCTGAATTAATGGTGGGTGTGTTTTACCTTGAGTCAGAACAAATGGCAACCGGGTGAGTGCAACCCAAGTGGATGAGGCTGAATTACAGGCAGCCAGTAGAGATGATCAAATGGGGCTTTTCCTTCTGCTTAGTCCTTGAGATAACCAGGGAAGTGAAAAAGAAACAGTATCTCCCCTGCCAAAGTGTCATGTGAGATTAATCATACATCTCGTTATATATAGGCTAAATGCCTCACCGAGTTCTAAGTGTGAAATGTGATATTAAGAGGCCAATGGAGATGAGGCACAGCACTCACTCTAAGCAAGGGCTGCCACCCCTCCTAGTAGGTTCTGTGGTAGCACAGAAAGGGTGTGGAGCCAGAGGGTAAGAGCTGTCTCCACTGAGGCCAGACTTCTCACCAAGACTTCCATCCCCACCATGCTCAACCCCCTGGATCTATGGAGCCCGCTGAGATGGGGCTGAATTCTGCAACAGTGTTGAGAAAACTCGAGGTTATGCTAACAGTGACCATCTGTAGAGCAGAAGATCTTCTCCCAGAACCAGCATAACTTCAGTTTCTTTGATAGATATAAAAAAAAACAAAAAACAAAAGTCCCACAAAACCAATTAAAAACCCACACCAAACCCCTGTGGTAACTCTGGATCAAAACAAAACAAAACAAAACAAAACAAAGAATAAATAATGACCTGAAAGACACTCCTTCTGACTGTTTTTCAGCAATTGAATTTGGCCTGTCTCACTCTCAATGTCATAGTAACTGGAATTCTGTTTCAATTAAAGAAGCATTTATTTTAATCAGCTTAACATTGATCTCTGGTTAAAAATAGTCACAGGGTGTTTTATAGCCCTCAGCATTTTTCACAGTGGGGCAATATTGGTGCAGTCATTGATTGCACAAGAACTGTTGTATTAAGCCCTAGAAAATGCAAAATCAGCTTCGGCTAAAACACGGAATTTTATTTTTTTTTCTGTTCAAGTAAAACACCGTTTGCATGTAGGAGTATAAAAATAAGACCATGATAACACAAAACAGTGTGCTAATTATTTTTAATTGTGCTTTGTAAGGAATAAAAAAAGTAACTAAAACCATATCCTGCTTCTGAACCTTTGAAACTTTCCTACAAATTCTGACCAAATTGTGCTAATAATGCAATCACACTAGCTGGCACAAAAATTCATGTTTACATTTACAGTTTGCTAGAAGGAGGAAAACAGAAATACAGCAAATGATATCCACTTATTCATGTCAGCAAATACTTCTGACACTTTGGTGCAAGAGAGATTTCACTGGCTTCAGAAGTGCTACATCAACAGGACTCAAATGGGATTTTCTTTCTGGTATGTTACTTGTCCTGTCAAAAGAAGACAAGTAATGCACAAGGAGTACAAAATCATGTTGTTAATACTTTTAGGCAACCAAACCTGAGTTTATTCTGCTTCAAGAAATTTTTTTTAATGACATATTGTTTTGCTGAGGATTTCCTAAATATAAACTAACTTTCCTTCCTTTAACAATCTTTTTTCTTCTTTTGCACAGCCAAGAGCTCAGTAAGACTTTAAATGAGAAAGCAAATTTTAAAAATAAAATAAAATTGTTTGTTTACACAAAGCTTTATGTGACTGTAATGAAAATTACCCAGGTGCTTCAGATAATTTCAAGGTAATGAAGTACACTTTTCATTGCCTTCCATTATAGTTATCAATGTAATATGCTCATTAAAAGGGCACAATTACAGTGGCTACATCCTTGACAAAACTAGTATGCAGGATTCCATAAAAATGGATTGGATCTGAAGAGTTGGTGGAGGCTATTTTTCCGGTGAAATTCTCTCCAAATAACTAAATAAACTAATAAAATATTTATTAGTTAAGTAAAAAATAGAAGTAGAAGTGTATTATCTTTAGTGTGCTTGTGGCTGAACTCAGAGGATGGTCTCCTCATTTTCACTGGCATCCCATTAGGCTATTTGTATTTTGATGCTTGTTTTAAGACATATAGTAAATGTAAAGATATGATTCTCTGAGGTCTATTTGCCCTTTCTGAACTGTGTAAAATGCAGTAAGACAGCAACATATGAATTACAGCCCCACCAGGCAATGCAAGTCATGCCAAGTAAAAGAAACCATTCCCAGAAGATAAGCAAGGCAATCACTGAAAGCAAGGAAAGAATCAGGGAAATTCCAGAGCTTCACCAAATAGTGAGCTACCTAGCAAAGAATAACACTGAGAGTGGCCAAGGTCTGCTCTGCCCAGCATCTGCCCCTGGCAATTTGGCTTAGCAGCCACCTCTTTCAAAGAGTAGAGCAAACATAAAATTGTGTTCTCTGTGACCCAAAGATTCTTGAAAGAGAGACAGCACCTTTATTACATTACAGCTGATGGATTGTCCTTCCACAAACTTATCCAGCTCCTTGCTGAACCTGTGTGAATTCAACTGTCTCAAGGAGTTTCACACATAAACTATACACAGTGGGAAAATTATTCCAGATGTTTGCTTTGTACCTGTCCTTTGCTAATTTATTTTTGTGATGCTTCTCTCCCAACACTGTTCCCACATCTTTTGGTTGGGAAAGAGTAATATATAGCCATCGTTTTTTTTTGAATCATGTTTCTAAAGATCTATTTTCAGATGGACATCATAGTTCATATGTTCAGTTGCTATAAGGAAATGCTCTCATATCTTTGCTCATCCCCTTTTCCACCTTCCAAAGCTTCACTATGGCATTTTTGAGTTGAAAGGTGAGAAGTATCAACACTAGCCAAGACACCATGGATTTACACTGAAGCCTTCTTATTTCTTCTGATTTTCCATTTAATTCCTAATAATTGTTAAGATCACTTCTTGGACTGTACTGACAAATTGAGAAATATATTTTTATAGAAGAGTATCTTAGAAAAACAAGCAGCATTTCCCGAGTCATAATTATTAGCTCACATTGTTTAGCATGTCAGTTAAGTTCAATTTTGCTCCTCTATCTACATTACTTTACAACTGTCCACGGTGAATATCATAGAACAATTTTTCCCAGTTGTTTGCTCTTGCTAGGGCTTTTTGTAATTCTTTACTATTAATTGTGTTCTTCTGAATAACCCCTAGACTTCCACATGTAACCTTTTACTTCAAGCTCTAGACTATTTAAAAATATGTTGACTGTTGCAGAGCCAACCTGATTCCTGCTAGAGTGTCATGGAAGGGTCATACCCCTTATACTGTGGTAGTTTAATATTTCTAAGAGCTGCTGGACTGGATATATTTAATCTCTATAGTAACTACAGGTCAAATTAAAATGAGTTTAAAAATTGGAAAAGTTTTCCTCTATGGCACAGTGAGTTTGTGGACACCTTGCTAGCAAGATGTTACTGAGGTATGATTCAAAAAATGCTTCTCAATTCTATTAGAATAATAGAACTAAACTATAGAATTTAGAAACTGCCAACTGTCTTGAGGAATATATTATGATTTATTCTTTGAGGAATAAGCTAAGTGCTGATCACAGCTCTAAAAGGAAACTTGCCTAATTGCATGGATTGTTTAACAGCTACTCATAGAAACTTATTTTAGAACATGCTAAAGCTCCTAGTACCATGTCTTCATTAACTTTAAGTTTAGTCCAAGAAAGCAATTCTGGTTTTCTTAAAATAACTTGAAATAAAGTATATTATTTTTAAGACACCAAATTTAAAAGGTATGAAATTTAAGTTTAAAAGAAATAAAAATTGCATGACCATCCAGGAAGAGAAAAGTCTCATCTAAAAAGTCAAATATTATTTACAAAGTATTTGTAAAAATTGTCTTCAGACAACTGGGACTGCAGACTTTCTTCAGTGATTCAGCAGGATTTTAGATTTAGTATATGGGAACAGGTCCAGGAATAAAAGGCTTCTACTTCCTGCTGTGTTGCTGCCTTTCTGTGTAACTTTTTATGTTTGGATTTGTCAATGGATTTGTTCACATATTTGTTTCCTGAACATATCCAAATTTCTGAAGTGCTTACTAAAGGTACTTTTTCTATATAGAGGCTTTGGATTTTGCAAAAGAAATAAATTTCATTGA